CTGTTACACCCCTAATAATGCATTACTTTGCCAGTACTTTAACATGAAATGGCACACTGGCCATGAAAACCAAAATCATTGCTTGGGTTGGGTATAAACATGGAAACCAAGCCTTAAGTAACACCTAGAGGAGCTTCGTTTTGTGGTACTTCTGTTGCTTGATCACAGCTTTTGTGTTTGTGTGTGTCCCCAAACAGGACATGTTCTGCCTCTACACCCCTGGAGGAGGTGGATATGGAAAAGAAGAGGAAGCAAACAATAGGCCTCAGACCAAGCGAAGGCGCTTGAATGAGACATTCTCCGAGAGGGGTAGCATCTTTGAATACAGAATGGCACAAGAGGGAGTGTGAAAAGAAGTGAGAAAAGGAGGAAGAGTTAAGACAGTTTTGTCATTGTACTGCAAAAAATTTGCGAGACACATACTGAGTAAAAAGGATTTCAAGCCTACATGCAGGCTGTCAGAATTTCAGATTTTTGCTTGAGCACCATTAAAAGATTTTTTTTTTTTTTTTTTTGGAGTGTCTGTGTTTAAAAGATGCAGCACAGAAAAATGTGGCGTGTTACGCAGACAGATTGTGCTTACATTAGCAGGGAAGTTGGCTAAATACTAATAACTCAGGCTGGGTCTGTCCTCACCAGACTAAATATGGCATCAAAGGACCTTTGTAACGGACATACAGTTGTTATATGTTGCATATCCATCGCTCTGTTCTTATACTGAATCTACTCAGTAGTTTTAATGTTTAGTTCCATTTGATGCTTTTTCAAAAAGCATTAATTTAGACCTCAAAGAGTCTTTTTTTTTTGTGTCTAATATCGATTTCAAGATGTTTTTCTTGTCCTAACAAATCAGACAAATAAAATCTATTTCTACTAAAAAGATTTTTTTTTTTGCACCATAGCAGTCACACACACACACACACACACACACACACACACAGATTTACACAAAATTTCAAATGACACAACATTGTGTCGCACAAACTTCACTCATGAGGACAGTTTAACCTTCGAATGCAGTGAAACTAAACTGAATTGTGATCCAGGTACGTTCAGGCTCAAATTATTTGACCCGGATCATGGATAGTTAATGAAAATAGTTTGATTAGGATGACTTCTGACATGCCACAAAAAAAAAATCCCAGGATTGTTGAATGTGTTGGTGCGGGGTGGGGGCATGTCCCTGTTTAAAGTGTTGTCCCCTCCTCCCATCTCTGGGTCAGGAATGATCGTGGAGCAGAGCAGGAAGGATAGTGAGGGAGTGCAGGCATGCGTATGCAGCAGATAAAGAGATAGTGGTCACTGCAGGGGAGGCAGCAGGAGGCTGACTGCTGCTGGACGATTGATGCAAATCAGCTGTGTGTGTGTGTGTGTGTGTTTGTGGGGGGGGGATATAGCTGTGCTAGAAACTCCCATTATGGAGGCCGTGGACTGTGGATTAAAGAAAGCTCCCTTGTTTCTGGATTACAATTCCTGTGATAAAACAATCTATTGTTTGTGAGGTTTCAAAATCCCTCGCTGCTGCTGCTGCTTGGCCCACTCTGTCTTTTCACCTCATCCACTGGCTTATTATCAGTATTAACTTTAGGAAAGTACTAACGATAAAAAGAAATGAGAGAAACTAGATTCACAAAATACAAAGAAAAGGGGGGGAAAGGAGTATTTAAAGACACATAAATGTTACACTCACACTGCGTCACACCAGTCAAAGCAGTCAGATTGTGTTGGCGTCACTAGAACAGCTTAAAAAAAAGTTACCAAAAATACCCACAAAAAACTGTTTGCATAAAATAGATTGGAGAAGCTCAAAGTAACATGCAAGAAAAATATATTTCTTTGCAAATCCCCAAAAGCTGATTCATTGCAAATATTTAAGTGTATTGCCATTTACAGTTTTTCAATTGATACATTTGTTTCTCATATAGTAAATAAAGTAATAATAATGACAAATTAATTTCTTGGCAGTTTCAAAAGACTCAAGGACAGCTTATAGCACAAAAATAACAAAAACAATATAAAAAGATTTTAAATCACGAGGCTGAGCGTGAGGTACTTGAGTGTTTTTTTCTTTTCTTTTACTCCCATGCAATTTCAAGTAGGAATTTCAAGTTAATTTATTTAAATATCTCAATAATGTCTTTTTTACAACCTTCACTTACATAATAATACATTCAAACAAGCCTCATCCATCAGTCATATGGTATTCGCATATGTAAATTCAGTGTAATTTGTGATGATGTAACACTCAGAAGACATTCTGCTGTTCTTTTTATTTTGAGGTGACACAAAATACCTGAGGTTAAATAGGTTGGCTTGTAGCAGACCAGTCCATTCATTTTTACACAGCTGCTTTATATATAAAGGGCATCAGAAGATTTATTCACAAAATAATCATGAAAAAAAAAGCTTGTTATTTTCACGTAACTAGCCTAAGCTTTATATTTTGAAATTTTGATTCTCAAAATACAAAAGTTCCGATTTTTTTTTTTTTTTAAAGTAACAGAAACCAGTGATCCTGCATATAAAGAAAACATGCTTACCAGCCACTTCATTAGGTACACCTATTCAACTTTTCATTAATACAAATCTGCTAATCACACCGCAGCAACTTAGTTCATTTATTTATATAGACATGGTCAAGATGACCTGCAGAAGTTAGAAAGATTACACTTAATTAATTGACTAACTTAAGTGACTGATCACTCCACGGTTGGTCCCAGACTGGTTTGTCTGAGTATTTTAGAAACTGCCAGTCCACTGAGATTTTCCCACACAACCATCTCTAGGGTTTACATAGTAGTCCAAAAACAGGGGAAATATCAAGTCAGTGGCAGGAAAGGGGAAAAAAAACAGTTACTGAATAACTACTCATTACATCCAGGGTATGCAGAAGAGCATCTCTGGGTACAAAAACTGCTGATCCTTAAAGCAGATGAGAAACTGCAGAGGAGTACCACACCAGGTGCCACTCCTGTCAGGTAAGAACGGGAAATTGAGGATACAATTTGCAAAGGATCACCAAAATTGTACAATAGAAGATTGGAAGAATGTCTGATTTGATGAGGTTTGATTTCTGATGCAACCTTTGTCAGATGTCAGAGTTGGAATCTTGGATTAAAATAAAACAAAACTTAAAAGCATGGACCCATCCTGTCTTGTAACAAACGTTCAGGCTGGTGCTGGTCATCTAATAATGTGGATGATATTTCTTTTAGTCGCCCAGATATGAACCGAGAATTGTTTAAATGCCACAGCCTACCCAATGTCCTCAGATGACCTGGACAGTAACTAGATCTCAGTCAAGCAGAGCATATTTGGGATGTAGTGGAATAGGAGATTTGCTTCATGGATGTGCAGCTGACAAATCTACAACTGTGTGATTAGCTTCATGTCAATATGGGTAAAAATCTCTGGAGAAATGTTTCCAGTTCCTTATTGAATTGAAGGCAACTCAAAACACAATGTGGGGTCCCACCCACTGCTAATAAAGTGTACCTAATAAAGTGGCTGCAGAGTGTAAATAAACATAAATAGTGCAACCACAATACAGCATATTCATGTAAAGTTGGCAGGATTTTGCACTTAACAGCGTAATTGTTATACAGCCGCAAAAAACACTGAACAGCACTGTTAATATAAACATTTTATTTACATACCCTGTTAAACTCCAGAACATTCTTTGGATACCCAAAACTTTTGAGCTGATCTTCTACTCAGTACTGTAAAAAAAAAAAAGAATTGTAAGAAAAATCACAGTATGTCAGAAAACTAACAAAACATTCACCTGTCAAGGTAAGGAGACTTTTAAAAGCAGCTTCCTATAAAAGATGATTGTAATGGCATTAAAATAGTGCAAAATAACCAGCAGTGCAAATTCTGCAGGAAATGATTCAGTTTGAGGTACGTTTTGGCTGTCAGGATGTGAAAAACAGTCTCCAGTGTCATGACAAGCTGTCAGATTCTCAGATTATATCACTTGAACTGACTTCAGACTAAAACAAAGATATTATAAAAATTACACTGTCTCCAGAAATTTTTTGTTTTCTTCCCAGTACAGATTTCCTTTCCCCTCACACACAATGACAGGAAAAAAGAGTAAACAAGGCCAATGCCACCATCAATAGAAGCAACACAGACGTACATAAACAAATGGTATCTTTTGGTATCTATCATGATCATTTAGATGTAGGCACTGATCTGTGCACTGTCGCACCATAAAGACAAAGATGCAATGTCTTCATTTACTAACTCTACAGTGTCAGTCTTTAGCTCATATTTACCGCATAGGCCTTGTAGTCCAGTTCTTTGTGGCTTTGTATGTGTAATACATTCAGTAGTCAGAATAGGTAGAAAACATTCAAAAAATGATAATAAAGGTTAAAAAAAAGAAGTTTGTTTATGCAAATAAAGAAACAGTGCAAACTATAGGTGCAGTGCAATGACTTTACACAGTTTCACTGAAAGACTGAGGTAGATACTTGTTTTGTTGTACAGTTATTATAAAAGGTTCTCTTTCAGTGAACCCATGTAATACTCTATACACTGTTTCTTTTTTTTTTAAAATTGCAACATAAAAACACTTTCATCTCCTCCTGATAAAACTCTGAGTCAATCGATAACATTGTCTACAGCTCAGCGAGTTTTGTTTTTTTTACATTTATTGTAGTATTTCTTGAGTTTGTGGAAGTGGCAAACAAAATATAGTTCCTTTATGGATCTTGGTGTGCATCCAGTTGTTTGTCATTGTGGTTTGGTATCCTGTTTGGGTGACAGTAATACTCAGTATTGATGGTACCGGTTGAGAGGAGCCCCGTTCTGCAAAGAGTACTGACCGGGCTGCTGATAGTGTGGGTGAGAGTTTTGACTAGCTGGTACCAGCACATCAAACACACTCTTATTTGGAGGCACAGATTGCAACATGTTGTCCAGGTCCATGAGTAAAGGAGGGGCTCTCACTGAAACTTGTCTAGTGGGGAGGATGGGCCAGTATGTATGGCCCAAGAAGTGACTTGGTGTCATGGGAGAGCTACCATAGCCGTAGATGGGTAGCCCGCTGTGCAGGGGCATCAGAGGAGCCCCGTTGAAACGCATGCTAGGTGGGGCAACGACATTAGGGGGTGCATATTTAGCGTAGGAGGTAGGCAGCTCCCATGGAGGTGGTACAGTTTCCCGTCTGGCTGATTTCTGCAGTGGTGGCCTGCAAATATCTGCCCCTGCTTCCACATCAGGAGGAACACGCTTCCCAGTTACTCCTTTCCACTCTTCATCAGATGAAGACGAGGAAGAGGAGGACGTGGAGGCTGGGCTTGCAGAGCTGGCAGAGGCACTCCGAGCAGAAGAGGTGTAACGATGTTGCGGAGCCGGTGAAGGCCGAGCCCGAGTCACCTCACCCCAGCAGTCCCCTGAAGCCATATCTAAATCCCCAGAGGCACTGATTGGCCTCAGGCTGTGTAGCAGGGAGTCGATCGCGAAGGACGAATCCAGCTTAGGTCTGTACAAGTCATCCTGCGGTGGGAAAGAGTTTCCAGAAGATGTGGGAGGGAGCGAGGTCACAGGTTCAGGGGGCGCCTCAGACTCAGGCTTGTGTCCCTGCATGATGTAAGGAGCCAGATCCTGAGCAAAGATTGTTTCATCCTGGCGGGACACGGCCGTGTTCTGCCTCTTGAGAAGCTCCAGAGGAATGCGGCTCAGCTCCACTGCCCAGAAATTGCCTTTGCCCTGTGGCTTACCTGGGTCTTTCAATACCTACAAGGTGGAGGAAGGATGGACAGTAATATTAGTGCTTGCCTGGAAAATCTAGTCTGACAGGACTGGCCTAGTTTCATTAATAATTATCACAACACAAGTGATTTAAAGTGGGTTCTAGGTTTTAATAGAAAGACTCCAATGGTGTATTCCTACAGGAGTAGTTTTTTTTAGTTTTAGTGTTTTTTTCTCTGTTTAATGATCATTACATAACATTTTACCATACAAACCTTAACAAAGCAGTCATATGAGGAAAGGTTGTGTCGCACAGAATCTCGCCAGCCTTTGTAGTTTCCTTTGAAAAATGGAAAGAGGGTACTGATCTCCTTGAGGATCTAAAATTTAAACAAATATCAGCATTAAAGTCTGAACCAACACACACACACCAGCATCACAGATTTTCGTTATATGGTCACTATATTAACTGCAATCCATGCTTGCGTAAAAACAGCTCGGCAAAACTACAAATTTCAACGAAGGATTTGGATTTTTATACTCAATGAACTTAAAATTGAAACAAATTGAAAATACGTTTTCCATCTGGTACAAAAAGCGAATGGAGCCCCCATTTGAAGCCTAATATTGGAATGTACTGTATATCTTATCACGGTTTCTGATACAGATCTGCGTCTGGTTCCACTGCAGTCCAGCCTTATCTCAGCAAACCAAGAACGGAACGGGTAGAAGTCACTCAAGTGTCACGACGATGTGGCTGTTTAGTGTCACTTTAGGAACTGTAAACGATCTTCTCAGACAGATTGTAGAAATTTCGCATAAAACTCTAATGGAGTCTACTCTAAATACACGACGCAGTGATGGATTTGCTTCTGCTGATGAAATAAGTGACGATCACAAGCGGCACCGTGCGTAAAACACCGCGCGCACCGTCTACACACAAACGCCAACCTCCGGCAGCATTTACACAGTTAACACATAAAAGCATTAGTTTTATCATTACCTCCGCTAACGTCAGCTTCTTCTCTGGAGACCTCTGGATGACCATAGCGATCATTGCAAGATAGGAATACGGAGGTTTGGGGTACCTCTGGTAGTTCTTTTTCTTCCCATTGCCGGCATTTCTTTTCTCCCGTTCACTTTTCCACATGTCCTGCGTTTCATCCTGCTTAAACTGTCCATCTTGATCACTCGGGTTTAAAGATCGAGGCGCTTCCTCTTTATCCATGAATCCCGTGGCGCCGGTGAGGTGTCCGGGGCGCTCCGTTGGTTCCTCCGTGCGCGGCAGCTGCTGGGGAGGCATCGGATTCGAGAGGTAAGACCAGTGTTGGACTGGTGAGCTCCACGGCGCTACGCCGCTGGGAGGAAAACTCTGCTGCTCATTTCTGTGGAAGTCAAGTTGATGGTCGAGAAGTTCTCCTAGGTGGGATGAAGCGATCGGTGCCAAGAGACTCTGCCCCGGCCAATGCTTTGTCATGCTGATCAGTCAGGGGAGGAATATCGCTCTGCACGTAGAGGGGGAGGAGGTCAAAGAGTCGGTCCTTAACTTCTGGCAGACTGCTGGCTCCAGGCTGACTCTATTTGAAGAGCAAACAATTAACAGTTTCATGTAAATCCCGCTGCGTAATGGGGGGGGGGTGATGCGTTATCTGAAAGCAGAATGACTGATCGGCCCTGGGGGCTGGGCTGGGTCTGTGTGCGAAGAGGGGAGAGAAAGACAGGGCAAAACTGTAAACCACCCGTACGATACCTTATCAACACGCCGACATGCAACGTAGTGATTCCACAACTACTTTAAAATCTCTGTTTACAAGATTCGTGCATGGAGACTTTAAGGCGTTGGGGAACACATCTACATTAATACAAGTCTGGCTTTACACAATTACACATTTTAGTCTTATCGTACACTTTTTAAATTATTTGTCTATTTAATTTTAATATCACTAAAGCTTTTACTTGGGCTTAGATGTAAAAGGTATAACTTGTGGGGGTAGGGTGGGTACAAATATTTTCGATTTAACCTCGGATGCAATCAACAATTATAGATGAGCAATATACACAAGAGAGGGCTAATATACAAACACTGAAGATGCCCCTTTCAGTACTTTATTTATTTATTAATTATTAAATAAGCAATGTAGCCTTCACTGCCTACTGAATACTTTTAGAATGGTTTTTAATTGTGAGAAACTAAAATCAAATTAGCCAAATTGTGTATTTGATTTGGCTCTTAATTCCAGAGGAGAAACTATTCCCATGAAAGCTATTTCTAAAAAGAAAAAGAAAAAAAGAAGGGAAAAAAAGCATAAACTACGCTGATCAGCTGATTAGTAGGTGCAGAATATTTGAAGTCATCATTGTTTTGTGTTGTTTGATAACGCGCTGCAGTCGACGGGGGCGTTTTTCCACAGTGGGGTCTCCCTCTGGAGTGTTGAGCATGCCATTCAGCGCTGAAAAGACTATTTTCGTGTATGCGCCTCTTTTGTTCAACTTAACGTAGTGCTAATGTCGAAACTCTTGCTTCCCAGCAAGACAGTGAAAACAAGTTGGATTAGAAGAACCCCCATCGGGAAGCTGGAGACTTTTCCATCCCAAGAAAAAGAGAAGCTGCTTAGCATGTGAGGAAATACGGGGAGCAGGGGGGGGTTTCAACACCATTTGTGGGGTTTCTGGCGCTTACAAGCTGCTAAGTGTTGTAGTTGGGTCGAACATTCACACCTTAAACAGGGGCAATCACGTACACCCCCAGCTGCTGGAAAATGCCTCAACATCTCCCTCAAGCAGAAAAAAATATCAACAAGTCAACCAAAGAATCAACTTTAGGATCCATCATGTGACAAAGCGTGAACTTTGGGACGGGATTGTAAAGAGTTTCGCACTAATGCGCACAATAAAGATGATTTGATCCAACAGTTGTGTCACCTGAAAGTTACAGAAGCAGCAGAGCTGGAAACAACTCAGTTTTCCTGCAATTAAAATCCATTCACTTTTAATAGGCGCTACTGGGCGTTTTCACATTGACCCCCACTCACATCACACCACTCCACAAGTTAACCTTAAATGTCCAGGCAACAAAGCTGATGACGCTCTTTTAATCAGGTTGCTGTAAAAATTAGAATCAAAAAGGACACTCTGCTCGTTTTTGCTTTGTTTCAAATAAATAATTCGCCCGTGTGACACACTTACCGCACAAATATGTAATTTCTGCAGGCAAAAATATTTGAATGAGTTTGTTTGTTTGTTTTTTCTAGGTCAGATGGCACTCCTGAACACGGTGAACATCAAATCTCCGTCGCACACCTGCTTCAATTTAGGTCAGTATTTTCCTTACACTGTCGGTGACCTTCCCTGGAGGTTTATCCCCACCTAGCGGTTTCACTCAAAAACCACAGAAGTACTAACTTCATGGAAGAATTAAAATTAAGCATAATTAAATAAGATTCATAAATATGTAGAATTTAACGGGGTTAAATTCCTCATATCTCTTTCTATTTGAGAGATTCAGAGGCAATTAAACAGGTATAAGAATGATTCACAGCCTAAGAGTCTGAAACAAAAAATCAGATTAAAAATGGAAAACCTAGGTTATACATAAAGAAAATGAATACATGCTATATGTCTGAAAGTTAAGAAACAGCTGAAAGTAATGGATACATTTTCAATCAGGGAATGGCAGATTAATTGTAATGCTACAAAGTAACAGACAATAATAATAACGAAAAGTAAAAGAGTTAACTAAATACTAGATACTTTTAAGAGGTACTGGAAAAACAGTACCGAACACATGCTGAAACCTGACACAAAAAAGGGTGGGAATCACTGGTGTATATGGGGAAACTCCTAAACTACTACGCACCATGTTACCACCTACATTTGCATAGCATTCTCCAGTGAAGGGCTCAGTGCCAGACGCACCGATTTGAATACAAACTGTCAATTCATCCCTTCCTGTTTGCTGGAATGCCAGTTAATAGGTTTGGTCTGGATTAGAGACACACACATAAAAGAATGGGATCCTACGTGAATAGGTCAGCATCGGGGACAGGGCTCTTCACATGGGCTGATTGAGTCCAGACAAATCCTTCCTAAACTGTCATCCATCCCGATACCGGGATAGAGGAGGAAGAAAGGCATGCGCTTTGTCACAGAGAAAGTAAGGAAAAGTTTGATCTGAGATGTGTCAATTAAGACAAGAGTGACTTTTGCTTACTTAAGCAATAAAAAAGCATACCATTGGTTAGTAATAGCATTTAGAAAAACCTTCATCAGGTGTTTCTGACCTTTTGTCTGTAGGCTGGTATCAGGCAGTTTATCTGTCATGCCACATGAAATCTGACTTTTCCGAAGCATTCAAAACCAGAATAATGAAGAACTAAAAGGCCTGAAAATAGTCTTTTCATTTACGCTGAAGATTTTTCTTTCCTGACACAGAAATGGATAATAAATATTTGTGTAAGCCAAATCCAATTGATTTTAAACATGGGCATCACTGGTTTCACAAGGCTCTTCACATGGGCTGATTGAGTCCAGTCCAATTACTGAGTCACTCTTCTCTTTGTTTGCCAACATTTTTATGAAACTCATTCTATGCATATTCAAAACACTTGAAGAAGCACTGCACTGAATCTTCTCCCGAGGACCAGAGATGGTAACAAAAGCTCCAACGCAGTTTCCTTGTTGTGACTCTGCAGGGTATCCCCGCTGTGATGCATAGCTGGGTCACTGCGGGGGTCAGCAGGTCACAGCGTCTTCAGTGTCTATCTCTTTTTTAGGATTTAGTAACTGATTCGGATGCTCACGGGGACACCTTGTGTATTTCATTGTCCAGCAGTGTTTTTGGTTGAGTGCCTCAAAATTGATTTTTAATTATGGGAGTGTTAAAGACACACTTGTTCAGGTTTGTGTGTTGCAGCGATTATCATTTAGTTACCAAACACATCTTAACAGTTTACTGTGAAAAGACTGCAGCGAATTCACATTTCTAAGAACGCAGGTGCATAGGCAAACACATCCTTATACATGCAAACACACCCTTAATATTTGACTTAAAAATGAAGGATGGGTTGTTTTTACACCAAGACAAGTTCAACCTGTTTATTTTTAAAGGCCTTTTTAAAATGCCTTTTAAGAAGTTTTTGGCAATACTGTGTATTTACAAGTATCTATTAGTGTTTGTTAGTATTTATTGAATGTCTATCATCAAGGCTGGACTGGTAATTTGGCATACCGCGCATTTGCCTGGTGGGTCAATATAATTGTTCTTTGTTTGTTTGTTTGTTTGTCTTTGGTCGATATGTTTATACAGACAACAGGTCGTAGGGCCGCTGTGCACCGGTCCTTCAAACACTTCCAGCAGCCCATTGGTGCATTTTCATTATTGACACTGGATTGCCCAATCAAATATCTTAATTTCAAACTGTTCCCTCCCCTGCCAGCGTTCCCTGTGCGCCCGCGCACCTTGTATAAGAGATTTTATTGTGGAAGACGTGGTTGATAAAGACAGCAAAACGAAAGGTGGAGCTGAAAAGCTGAGAGGCAAAAAGAAAGACAAACAAAAATGCAACAAAATGAGTCAAATTAACCGGCATGTTAGCAGCTACACTGTCAACAGCAACAACTAGTAAAAAACAACAACAAAAACAAACAAACCCTCGCGTCACAAACAACTGCTGTTCTTAGCACTAGTCTTGGAGAAGGGACAGAAATCCCCAAAAGAGAGTGGTAAGAAAATAGATGAAGGGGAAAAATTAGGAAGGGCAGAGATTCAAGTAAAATGAATGGCTACTTTGACCACAAGCCACCGCTAATAGCTAAAGTACAGCTTTTAAATAAAACATGATGCACTACAGTACAACTCATTATTAGTCAGTACATAGTGTCGTGATTGCTTTTGTATCAGTCCTGGCCTGTCTAGCATGTATGTGGAATTTGTTAATGCCCCCCTGGGGATGAATAAAGTATCTATTAATCTATCCACTTAAAATATATTTATAGAGCCATTATGTTTGTTGCCATTTCTGCTGCCCTCTTGGCC